GCTGGCGAGAACCAAGTGCTTTGAAAAGCATCCAGCTTGGCGATATGTTTGATCGTATTCCTGTAGTTTGTTGCCTGTCTCTTAGGTCCCCTCTGCAGCTCTGCCCGCGGTTTTGTCTCATCTGTTCAATAGATGCCTCCTGCTAAACGAAGGTGGGTTTTGTGCTTAGGTACTTGTTGCCAGTGGCGGGCTGAGGAGAAGGCAACAACATGGAAAGTGCGCGTCTTCACAAGGTGCTTGACTTTGCTTTTTCCTTTAGTTCCAGTACGAAGTATGTGAGCGTGGAGGAGGTGGACACTTTTCCAGGGGGTTTAAAGACAAAAGCCTGGGGGCATGGTGCTCAGGAGGAAGCCGGCAGCAGGGTGCCAAGAGGTGCTCGGGGAGGGGGAGAAGCGCCGGCTTCCCTCGCGGCGAGAGCCCGGAGAGCGTCAGAGACCCGGCGTCAGGGCCAGGCGGCGGAGAGGCTCTGCCGTGCGATCGTGCTGAGGGACCAGAACGGCAGATCCGCTGTAAGCGACGGTGCTCCCCTTAAAGCGTCCTGACGCAGGCCGCAGTGCAGCGAAACGCGTTGAGCAGCGGCTTGGGCCTTGCTTAAGGCAAAGACGGTTAAGTGCCTATTTACAAATTTCCTTCAGCTGGGGCTAGAGGCCGAGGCCGAGACCCCATCGCTCTGTTACGGTTCCCTTTTTAAGGAGCGTTTAGCAGAAGAGGGGTCTTCGTTTATGCCTGTGGCTCACAGTCGGAACAAATAGCAACAGTGGAAGGATTTCTGTTGACTTCATTGGTCTTTAGCTCAAGTGCCCGAGGAGTTGCAGCATCTTATTAAAAGCGGAGTTACTCTTGCCTCTTTTTAGAGGGAGGCCTGCTCTGCCCTGGAGGCGCCTAGAGCTGGCGTTGAGAAACGTTGCCAGTTGCTGGGCCCACCAGGACGAGGGGCCGGGCCTGTGTCGTGAAAGGTAAGGGCAAGCCCCCCTCCGTTTTTGCAGGAAGAAAGGAGAAAAGACAGAAGAGTCGGAGAGGAGGAACAACTTTATTTTGGGGAAATTGCAGGCGGAAAAGGAACAGGAAGCAAAGGATGAGAGGTTTAAAAGGAGCAAGCGAGAAGGGGCGAGCGAGAGGGAGCGCGAGGCACCTCCTAAATGGAAGAGTAAACAGGCACTCGGAGGCATTAACTTAATTGATTGTTCTGCAACAGGCTGAACGCTGTGTTATTCTGTCGCCGTGGCAACAACCCAAAAAAATTGTCAGCCTGTTTGGATGAAGTGAAGCGAAACATTCTCTAATTTGCGGTGATCCGGGTGTTTGTTTTCCTTCCGAAGAGGCGGGGGCTCTATTGATCTGTTGTTTGCCCAGAGCGGTGACAGGGGAAGCGGGAGGCCGGGCTGTGCTCCCCGGCCTGCTGCCCGGGCCGCGGAGGCCGCGCGGACCCTTCCCCGCATCCGCCTTCGCGTCCAGCTCAAACTCCGGCGGGAGGCAATGTCCCGAGGAAGCCCGGGGAGAGGGGGAAGCTCCGCTCCCTCCTGCTCTCTTGCCTTTGGGTTTTACGGTGCGCCTGTCTCTGCGGCGCCTGTTCGTCTACGAAACCGCTTGCTGGGATGGAGAAGGTGAGGAAAGGACGGGCAGAAGGACTCCTACCCGTTCCCAAAATGGGACCTTTATTCAGTCCTCTCCGCTGCGCTTCGTG